AAGAAATGAAAAGGGCAAGGATGTCTGCATCACAGGGCTCTCCCTGTTGCTTTCTGACATTCATTACAACCGATCAAAGGATAACAGAAACAGATTTGTGACTGACCTTGGCAAAAATGGTTAGCTGAGGAATGTGTGAGAGTTTCCAATGAATGAGACATGGTTTAGACTTGATATTGAATTGGAAGATGAGGAAATTTAATGTCACATTGGAGGGAACTGTGGCATTTGACAACTATCTGCAAAAGGTAGCTCACTTTCTGCATATGTGAATAAAACAGAATACTGATTAGAGCTGCCACTGAAAAAGAAAAGATTCAGAGAAATGAAGACAGGTGAACTGCTTCTCAGCACAAGTGTAGAAGGAACTGGAGAAATGTATGTGGTAGCAGGTAGGAAAGAAAGAAAAAGAAGTATCTAAAGGAAAATGTAAAGTGATACAACTACTTCAAATGCTAATCAAGGCCCTAGGGATTCTGCATTTATACTTGCACATATGAACGTAATGGCTATTTAGTATTTTAGAATAAACCCAATCTTCAAATAAAAATGAAAAAAAAAAAAAAACACACCAGTTGAAAAATTGTACTTTTTTTTAATTGGTGGAGCGGCGTTTGCTTGTTTGTTTGTTTGTTTTGTGTGTGTCCTCATTCCTACAACAAGATAGGATAGGGGAGGAAAGGAAGGAATAAAGCAATCCCACAGTCATTTTTTTCCTTGAGTATTCTGCTTGCTGCAGCTTAGTTCTGATTCCTTAAGTTCCTCATTAAACGTTTCTGGTAACAAATGGTAAGACAAGTCAAATACATATCAGGAAGACTGCGGGAAACATCTTCATCTGTGGTAGGAAGAAAGGTCAAGAAGGAGCCTAAGGGGAGGCTGACAGAAAGTGAGGTAAAAAGTAAATCTAAGTATTATATGTACTGGGGCTTGTTAGACATGTGCTGTTTTGAGGGAGAGAAAATCAACTTCTCAAGAAGATTTTACAAGTTTCTTGCTCAATAAAACAATTTCTGTGCCACCTGTAAAGTTTGAGGGGGTGGGATGCAGCACAGAGCATAGAAACTATAAAGCAAGTAATGTCAAAACAGCTCTAGTAACAGTCTTTGTTTGAATAAGGAACTGTAATGGGGATGGTTGTTATTTTTTTCTGTAATAAATAAACTTTGTCTCTATGTTAAGATGTATTGGTGTTACCTATCTCCCTTGCCTGCATTAGAGAATGTGAGTAAAGATTTGAGAAAAAAAAGGGTTCTTTTAAAATTTCTATTTAAGAATTACACAATAAATATCTGTTTGTTCACCTGTTCAAAATATTTGCTAATCATAGTTTTAAGTCACAAACTTAAGATATGCAAATCCTATTTTTATTCCACAGCAGCCACGTACTTAGCTTTTTGCTTGCTATTACAAGTAGAAAAGTTACAGTGCAATTATAGCTTCTTCTAGCATCAGCTGGCATTCACCTGTGCATCAGCTGAGTGACAGTATTTCTCACTCTGCCAAAAAGTCACTGTCCTTTTTGAATGAGAAGGAAGTGTCATGCGGATGGATTCTCTGGGGAAAAAACTAAGCATATGGCAGCACGAAGTGAGTGTTTTTGAAAGAGAGCAATCTTACTTCAGTTCTTTCTATGCTTTATCAATATGTAGGTTTGTGACAAAGGAATATGTAATTTACTACTTATAATTAGTTAAATAAAAACTGTTGGAAAACTCAAGACTTGACCTTTGCTCAAGTAGCAAGGCTGTTGCACCAGGACGCAGATACAGAACTAAAATATTTCTAGCCTTTTTTTTTTTTTTTTTTTTTTTCAGTAGGAGGATTAATTTTTTCAGTTAAGTGTAATGAAAAATGTGCTGTTTCTGTATAGCCAATTATTTATTAGAATATTTGTTTTCAATACCTGATTTATTTTTGTAAACATCAGTTTCATGAGTGATAATCAGAGGAACAGAGAAGTACCTTGTAAATTACAATAATCTGCAAAGGTATGTACATGCTAGCAATGGCTTTTATGCTACATCATTGTACAGCTTACATCATTGTACAGCTTCTCACAGTATGTAGACATGAATGTATTAAGCAGAAAGAAGGTCATGTAGTGACAGGATCTATGTTCCATAGAAGTAAAAAGCAAAATTCCATAGATTTCAGTGGAACCAGAAGCAGATTTGGAGGCAGAAGATAAAAGGTATAGAGAATGATCGGTAAATCTGGGAAATGTTATGTAGCAGAGTGTAAGATACATGCATATCTGTATTTGGCAAGTGAGGCAGCAGTTAAGTTACCGAAAAGTGAGAAAGCCAATTAAGGAAAAAGAAATCAGGTTTCTAGAAAAGGCTGTCTTACTCCTCTTCTATTAAGAACTGAAGTAGTACTGCCTCCTTACACAAGCATACACTATTTTCAGTTCTGGAGAAAAGCCATTGTATGACAGGATGTTATACTGAGGAGCTGAATGTCAGGGGAGAGAATCAGAGCACCCCACACCTGAAGAGACCTATGGCTGAGGGAGCTAAGCCATGGGGTGCAGGATAAGGCAGAACACTGAGATGCAGTACTTCTCCCTACCTATAAATCATTTATAGCTCAGAGAAGCAGAGAAGTCATTTCAGTAATTTCAGCAGGTTTTAGAGGAGGTCACCTTTTGTAACTCAGCCCTATTTACTCCAAATATAATTTAATTCAGGTCAAGGAGCTGGGTAATACTATTACTAGTGATTTGCCATATCACTCTTTTGATGTCCATGCTGCTATTGCTTCAGCCAGGAAGATCAATAATGCTCACAGAGAATGAAAATGTCTCTAAATCCTACATTTATCTTCTTCTCCTACTAAATACTCACCACCAATCTTATCTGAAAAATTACCTGTATCACGACGTTGGTTTTTTGTTTTTTTTTGTTTTAATTTTTTAAAAATTTTTATTTTATTCAGAAAGCAGCTAAATCTACAGCAGTTGTACCAGCACACTTCTATGGCCTCCAGCTTCAAGATTTGTTTATATTAGACAGAATAACCATTCAGATGTTTTTCATTTTTAATGCAACTCTTTTATTACTTGTAATGAGCACCCATAGTAATTACATTAGGATAGATGGGAAACAAATGTCCGAGTTAACCATAAAAAAGGATTATTTGCAGTAGTTAGGTGAGAGCTTATTCTTGTGTGTTTGTTAAGTTCCTGATACACTCGGATGCTTTTGCAATCAATAATAAAACACTGCAATCTGCAAACACAAAGACTGCTCTTCTCTAAGTTTGGCCCTTCTTTATTTGTAATTGAAATGACATCTGCTGAAATGCATCGAGTTTGTTTGTTAATAGAAGAGCTTCTAAATGAGGTTTCTGATGCTAATGCAATGAGTGGAAATTGGAAAGGGAAAAGAGGTGGAGGAAAGGATGTATGAGTGATGTAAAGAACAATTTGCTACCTAGCTTAAGGCTGGAATGATTGTATAAGCACCAACAGAAAGGCTGGCTGGAAGAAGCTGGTTTTAGGCTATACCTGTTAGTGTATAGACCAGGGAAAAGTGCTGAGAAAATTGAATTTTGGGAACAGAGTCTGTCTAATGAGCATTTCTCCTCCAGAACAAGCCTTAGAAAGTCAGTGTGGGAACCTTTTTAAGTACATTGGTCTCAAGAGGAAAATGCACCAATGACTGGTGGCAGGGACCTTTCACACTGGGCTAATGAAGAGAATCTTAATTCTTTGCTGTGAAGGTATTATCACAAAAGATTTTCGTAGCAATTTGGAGGATAGAATTCCGCAATAAAGAATTGGAAACTTTTCTCCACTAATTAACACTTAAGCATTTTTTCAAATACAACACAAAACATGTTTGCTATTGTTGAGAACATTCATACCACCTGGTGATGAACTCTTTCATCTTGATTGTTTCTTAGCACACCAACAACCTAATACCTAATAGATGGCTTTTGCTAGGCTTCTCTTAGTACTGTTTTATATTTCCCTGGCACAGGCACCAAGGGCAAGGAACACCCCTTCAGCAACAAAGCTGATTTTGCAGTTCTCTCCCAGGCAATGCTGTCTCTTCGTGAAACACCTACCACTACAGCGAGAGAGATGCGTATCTGGAAATATTCTCTGCAATTACTGCCCACACCTTCTTGATAATTCATGGTGTGACTGGTGAAAAACAAACTCTTGATACTAAATGTATTGTCATATGGTACTGGGTAAGGTGTACTAGGCAATGTGAAAAAGGCTGTAAGACAAATCAATGCAGTTTTCCATCTATGCTCTCCACTGTTCTCTACATTTGAACAACAGTGGCATTTTCTTGAGCACTGTTGCAGCCATTTAACTGAAGTGCATTTTTATAGACCATGCAGCCCCACCTAAGTAAGCTACCAGCTAGCTGGACTGCTTTCTGAGCAGACAGATGGGATTTTGCAAAGTTTGAGTGGTTTCGGTGCTAAATGACTCCCTGGGCCAGCTATCCCCAGGAGTCTCTTGCGTTTCGGTGAGCTTCTTATCCAAAAGCTTGGAAAATGTTATTGCTGCCACATGAGAGTCAGGCAGCTGAATGCCAAGAGAGGATAAACTGCCCACATTGCCTATCCATTATCCATGCTGGGCTCCAGCCATCGGCAACGGGACCAACCGAGGCAGCAGCAGATGAGGCCCGACCAGCGCCGTAAGCTCTTTTATTTCTCTGTCAGCCTGATACGGATGCGCCAGGAGGCTGAGCGGGCGCTTCAGCTCCCACCCGGGGCAGCCGGAGCCTTTGGGGCAGACGGGACCAGCGCCTGCTTCCGAGCAGCCCAGCTCAGGGGAGCAGCGCGTGGAGCAGCCGGGGGGGGGGGGGGGCGGCCGCGAGCTGCGCGCTGATTGGTTGCCGCGCCTCCCCCCGCCCCGGGGCGCTGGCCGCGGCGGAGCCTGCAGGCGGCGCCTCCGCCTCAAAGTTTGTCCCCGCGGGCAGCGCCCGTCTCTGCGCGCTTCCCCGGGCGCCCGGGCGGAGCAGTGGGGGGCGGTGATGGCGGGGCGCGACCGGGCGCGCTGAGGAACGAGCCGGACGGAGAGCGAGGGGAGGAGGGCACCATGCGCTCTCTGAACATCACCCCGGAGCAGTTCGCGCAGCTCCTGCGGGACAACAACGTGACGCGTGAGCAGTTCATCGCCCTGTACGGGCTGCAGCCGCTGGTGTACGTCCCGGAGCTGCCGGGCCGCACCAAGGTGGCCTTCGTCCTTATCTGCGCGCTCATCTTCGCCCTGGCGCTTTTCGGCAACTGCTTGGTGCTCTACGTGGTGACCCGCAGCAGGGCCATGAGGACCGTCACCAACATCTTCATCTGCTCCCTGGCGCTCAGCGACCTCCTCATCGCCTTCTTCTGCGTCCCCTTCACCATGCTGCAGAACATCTCCTCCGAGTGGCTGGGCGGTGCGTGCCGGGCGGGTGCGGCGGTCCCCTCGGGTTGGATGCCGCCCGGCTGAGAAGCTCCCTGGGGCGGACAGCGGTCTGCCGCTCCCGAGCCCTGGGCGGTGTGCTGCTCGAAGCCCTGGGCACGCTCAGGGTGGAGGGGGTTGCGCTCCACAACTTGCGCTGCTGGTCGTGTTCGGGTGCTTGCACGCTTTGCGCGGTCGGGGTTTGATCTGTGAGCGCTGAATGCGGTAACTTCAGACTAATGCACATTAAGTGGAGTTAAGTAATGGCTACGCCGTTCCCTCGGGTTGTGTTAAAAGCGCTGCGCTTTCATGCTGGTGTTCGTTAAAAGTTGTGGTGGTTTGTAAGTTCGTGGAGTAGTCTTGCAGTGGTGTTATTTTTTCTTTCTTCGAAACCTGAAGTTAGAACTCTTTAACCCTTGATGGGGAAAAGGAACACCTCCTCAGAGAGCACAGGCAGAATTTACCTTTGTAGTAACGTGCCATTTCAAGATATGATTTTTTCTTGGGAATTTTGTTATCTGGAGCACGAGTCTTACATGGGGCGGCTGAAGGAGCTTGGGATTGTTCAGTCGGGAGAAGAGAAGGCTCAGGGCAGACCTCAGGCTCTCTGCAACTGCCTGAAAAGAGGTTGTGGTGAGATGGGGTCTGCCTCTGCCCCCAGGTAACAGTGCACCAGGGGAGCTTCAGGTTGGTGATTGGGAAGCATTTATTCTCAGAAAGGGCGGTGATGCGCTGCTACAGGCTGCTCAGGGAGGTGGTGGAATCACCATCCTTGGAGTTGTTCAAGAAACATGTAGGTACGGCACCGAGGGTCATGAGCAGTGGGCATGGTGGGGTGGGTTAGAGGTTGGACTGCATGATCTCAGTGGTCTTTTCTGACATAAATGATTCTGTGTTGTGTTGCCATTAGTCTGAAAGACTTGTGTGTAAGGCCTCTGATACCTAGCAAGCACTTTAAAATGCATCCCAGGTCCAAAGAAGTATAGTGACGAAAAGACAGAGGTGATGTAATGTTAGTTAAAGGGCATTTACCTTCCTTTTCTTGCTCCTAAAATGCGGTGTTGAATAAATAAAATAAAAGGGATGGTTTTGCAACAAGGAGCAGGTAAGGTCTTTGTACAACAGCAGATTGAACTGTTTCTTAAAAAAAAAAAAAAAAAGTGTCCATAAAGTGACTCCATTATTTTCAGTGCCCGAGGCTTGCTGTGCTGCTGGGAGGTACTGAACTGAGGCTATCTTCAGAGCATTAAGATTTAATTTCAGTACATTTGATGGATGAGAATGCAGGATAGGAATTAGCAGATCAGAGGAGACTTGAAAAGCAGAGATTTGAAACATGGATACCTAACACAGTGAGAAGTAGGTTTGATTTTCTTTTTTTTCTTTTTTTTTTTTTTTTTTGTCTCAAAATCAAGAAGTTCCTAGGAAAAGTGATAAATATGAAACTACAGGAGCAACTAATAAGTTAAATGAGAAAAACTGTTTTTGCAGCTGTTTTATTTTCTTACAAGATGACTTTGGGGAAGGAACTATTGTTTTTAAGATGGTGCACCTTAATATTGATATTGAGCCCCCAGATTAACATGGGTATGTCATAAAAATAATAGGGAAACTGTTAGCTATACAACTGTTCCTTCTTTTGTACTACTACTTCTCCTTGCTCAGAGAAGAATACAGCAGTAAGAAACACCAAGAGATCCCACACAAAAGGGAAAGGACTGAACTGATGTACCTTCCCCTAAATGTTAGAGTTGTGAATCTTCTCTCTTGATGGGGAGAATACCTATCTGTCTGAACATCTGATCAGAGCCATCTGAAAGCTTGGTGGCATGAAGCTTCTGCCCGAGGTGGAATTGCAGCAGACATGCCAGAGATGTGCTTTATCCCAATTGTTCTGCATACACATCTTCATTTATCTTATTGAGGATGCTTGACAAAATCTAGAAGTCAGTATACAATCACAGCATAGTTGAAACATGTATCTTCACTGTTTGGATATTTTGAGGTATACTGTTGTATGAGTTTTACTGTATTTTTTGTTTATGCTCTGATGTCTTAGAGCTTCTTTACTACAAGTGGGATTCGTAGTTCCTATGATTTTGATGTTGACATTAATTGTCCTGTTAGGATAATTGGATTTAACTAACGTTATAATGTTGGAAGTGCATAATAAGTAACATAATTGATGAATGTTTGCCTTGACTGGGAATGGAAGAGAAGGAAGGGAAACAAATGAAATGTAAAATGATGGTACCCCAGGGGTATCTGGTTCCTGAGGATCATACTGTAAAGCATGAATGGTTATTACATTTATATATTATCTGAGGCTGCCAGACTGGGAGGGCTTTTCCTTGCTAGTTTTATTGGTTCAGTTTTCCTTTTGCCTTCCATTTTCTAGCCTGAGAAAGTTTAGTTCATCCATCTTAATGCAACATGTCTGTTCTGGGTTGTTCTAACTCCCATCTACTGAGAAGAAGGTGACTTGACTATGTAGTATATTTCTGCTGGGAGAAGTACTTTGTCCTGAAGTGCTTGATACTAGAAATATCATTGAGTTTCTGGACATCTGATCTCTTCCCTTCTTGATCTAGCTGCATTTGAATCACTAAAATGAGCACTAGGTATACTAGGTATACTGAGATACAAGTATGTTTTGTACTGACCTTTGTGTTGGAATTATTTATTTCCATTTTTGTATATATGTGTTTTATTTATCTTCTTTCCCCCGCAAAAATCAAGAGGAAGAGGTGAGGGCAGAACTGCAGTCACTCCAGGCTGTAGATACCAAAGTACAAATGTAATAACAGCCATGGCTTTAATGTAGCCATTAACATTTTAGCCATTCAGAGTTATCTCTATGATTGGATGCTACCAGGAAAGAATCGTTCCTGTTTTGTTTCTTCTGAAGTGAAGGGTGAAGTACTTCCATTGAAAAAGCCTCCAGGTGTACATAGTTTAAAGTAGGACCTCAAGGAAAATGTTCATAATTGACGATGTAAAATAATTCAAATTGTCAATGGTAGAGTCACTCCTTTGTAATAGATAGCATTCCGTTGTTACAAATCTGAAAGGCACTGGCATGACTTTTTCCACAATACATTCTTCAACAATTTCGAACTTCACCTACAATTCAGCGATTGAAATCTCAAGAAACTGAGTGTGTAGTGCTTTGCCTGATTATTATGTAGTTCTAACACATATGCAGCAACTGGGAGGAGCACCATCTTGACCCAAAATGGGTGAATCTGTCTTGCTTTTGATTCTTAGATCTGTTAAGAATCTATTCAACTGCATGAGACTGTGGAAGTGACAGTGTAACCCATTTCTTGTTTATAATTTGCGACTGAAAAGGCTGTAACATTCTAGAAGACCTTTAAGTAGAAATTCTGCAATCTCTCAGTAATATGAAAGAAAACTAAAATTGCAGCTTTGGTGTAAGTGATCACTGATAATATATTTAGTTGTAAGAAGGGGATGTAACTGGGGCTTGACTAAAAGATGAATTGATGCATATATAGCAAGGAGTGGTTTTGGCAAAGAGTGGCACAGTTGAGGATTTGCTTTCTTCTGGTTGTAGGTGGGAGATAGCAGTGGGGTCTTGTGGTCACACTGATGGCCAGCACTATGAAGGGTAAATCTGTGCTTTCATCTGCTGGCCAAATTTTACAGGATTTGTTTTATTTTCCAAAAACTGGTAGTTAGCTGTTAGCTAACTGGATGCTGGTGTTAGCTAACACCAGCATCTTTGCTGAACTGGAGAACTACTGTTTTATTTTGTGCAACACAATACCCCTAGTAAAAGATAAGGCAAAAAACAAAAAAACCAAAAAAACAAAAACAAACAAAAAAACAGATTACCGGAGACCTAGTATTATGCTTTGTCTTTCTTTTTGATCTTGTGGATTTTGATCTTATCAGATATGCAGAAGGCATCAGAATGCATCTTACGGCTGGTGTCAGAAGCAGTTTTTTTCTCATCATCTAGGGAGTGCTGGGTCACCTAAAGCACTACTGAATGCACAGTGGCATTTGGGATGGCTGTGCTCAGTTGCATCCAAGCTGCTGGCCGCATGCAGCCCAATGCAGCTTACAGTGCAGCAGCTTCCTGCTCCGTGGTAGCTCTGCCCCACTGCGTGACCCAGCCCACCCCCTCAGCACCAAACGCCATCTGGGCTGAAACCAGAGTGCAATTAATTGCTAATTCAAGTTGTGGCAGGTAAGTTTATGGAGTTTGATACATTGGCTGAACAGAGTCCTGTGAACAGCAAAGCATATGCAGCCATGCTTTCTATTTTGATAAAGGAATCTGAAAGTAAGTTTCAGGATTAGCAAAAAATTGCTGTCTTTACCCTGCGTATATACTACTCCATTTTCAGTTGACATTAATAGATTACATGAGAATTTTCAAATGGAATGTATAGAGTTGCAACCCAGAATAATTTGATTATGTCTCTTTACCAGTCTTTTATAAGCCCTGTATTTCCAGACAGAAATATCCATCAGTATACAGTCACATTTTATTCACTACACCACCTTTTGGTAGTATGACTATTTGTGAGCAACAGTTTTTAAGGTTGAAGCACAGGAATAGTAAAATTTCAGCAAAGATCTTTACTGAACAGCTTGAGAACTCATTGAGAATTGCAACCACTGCAGTTGAACTAGCCTGGTATGTTTGTTTCAGAAAAGCAAGGTCACATATTCCACTAGTTTTATGTTTTAATTGCACTTTTTTTAATTAAAAAACAACATTTAAAGACTAGTTTTTGTTACTTGTATACATAAACTATGTAGTATATTTTATGAGGGATGTTCTGAAAGTAATGCCTCCTATTTTATTATGTTGGCCCCTGGTATCAGAGGCAGATGTTGGAGGTATGGCAGTAGAGATTGAACCTTCCCACCATTATTATTCCATCAAGTTTTGTTGTCGTGCAACAGATGGCAGCAGAGAGGCAGTCTGACAGAATGGTGTCTGATATGGAAGTGCAAATG